ACATCTTGCTTCATTCTGTGCCACCGTTACCGCTTTTTCATATCTTGGTACATCTTAGTGGCACCAAGGTGAATTGTTAGCTTGCTCCTATAAGCTTCTGGTAGTATAGTCTCTCTAATCTCCTTATCATCAAGATACATACAGTCATGATACAACATGAAGCCATCATCACTGAAACTAAAAGCCGTCATTCGGTTTTCCTCAATGTCCTCCTAATTTCTAACAAATACTCATCTTTTAATTATGCTTTTCTTAATTCTTTCCAGCATTCACTTGTAATCACTGTGACATTCAAGTTGTATGACACGAAATTGGAAACATTCTTGTGCTTATTAGAGAAATCCTCTAACATCTTGTGCTCTTGCATCATCAAGAATGCTACGTGTAACGTCTTCTAGCTCAACGCATTAGCTACTACATTAGCCTTACTAGGATGGTACTTTAACTCAAAATTGTAATCCTTCAAGAACTCCATCCATCTCTACTGTATTCAACTCTTTCTGATCAACTAGATATTTGAGGCTTTTGTGGTCACTATATACCTCAAACTGTGCACCATAAAGGTAATGTCTCCATATCTTAAGCGCAAACACCACTGCTGCAAGCTCAAGATTGTGGGTCTAAAGATTCAATTCATATAATCTATAAAGATTGTGGGTGCATTTGTCAACCCAAAGGGCATAACAAGAAACTCATAATGTGCCATATCTCGTTCTAAAAGTAGTGATAGCTGGACCTCAAATCAATCTTAGAGAATGCCGCTGCTCCAGCTAACTGATCCAACAAGTCATCAATTTGGGGTAATGGGTACTTATTCTTAATTGTCACCTTGTTCAGTTGCTGATAGTCTCTGCACAATGTCAAGCTACATCTTTCTTTCAAATAAACAGAATAGGCGAACCCTAAAGTGAAACACTAGTTCTAATTAACCCCTTCTCCAATAACTCCTCTAACTGCTTCTTAATTCTGTTGAGCCATTCGATACGGAGTCTTAGAGACTGGCTCGGTACCAGATACTAAGTCGATTGAGAACTCAATCTCTCTCTGGTGATAATCCAGACACTTCGTCTACAAATACCTCAGGAAACTCATTAACAACTCCTATCTTGTTTATTGCTCCATCATATACTTCGTGTATTGAGCAAAGCACCATGAAAGCTTGACATCCTTCCTTTATTGATTTCTTCACTTGTACTACTGATAGGAACCTAGGAGTCTCTGGAATAGTAATAGGTACAGACTGTGTAATCTCCTCATTTGTCATAGTTGCTGTGTATACTGGTAACAAAATTGTCTTTTTATTATAGTCTAACGACAATAAATCCATGTCGATTATCATATCAATTCCCAACATAGGCAAACAAATCAAATCAATACTTGTGACTATTTCACCAAATTTCAACTTTACTTTCAAACAAGCCCAACTGGTTCTCACTGAAGCACCAACTGGTATAGAAACATTCATCACTAAAGGCATTTCAACCACATGCATTTTCAGTCTTTATGCACACTCATTAGAGATAAACGAGTGAGTAGCACTAAAATTAGACAAAGCAAAAATTTATTGATTGCTTAAAGAAATTGTACCTTAGATAAGCTTCAGGGAAGTTTCAGCCTCTTTCCTTGTCATAGCAAACATATGACCAAGAATAGCAAACCTCTGATCAGTGTGAGGAGCATTCTATGGGTAATACCGAGCGATATGCCTAGCCTTGTGGCACTTGAAACACGTCCAATACTCCCTAATATGGTGTCTTCCGCACTTGCTACACTGCGGGGCTCTAATCAATCCAGCTACCGTAGGAGCAAGATCCTGTCTCGAAGCTTGACTTCACCCACCCATAATCCTGGGGGTACTACTCCTCATCTGGGAACCTCTAGAATGTGAAGCCCTCTGAAAACTTCTCTTTATTGCCACTGCTACCCAGTCCAGATGGTCTAGAGCTATATCCATTTATCTTGCCAACACCAATAGTAGGACCCGTTTATGTAGAGAAACAGCCCCTACCATCTTTCCTCTGGTTATCCTCAGCCTCATGACCTCATCTAGCCATTACCCTTAACTTACTGCACACTACACATGTCATTATATGAGACAATATTGAAGGGTGCTAGCTGCTATCTATAATCAGGCCGCATCTTCTCCAATAATTGCTCAGCCTTTCAATACTCATCATCGTGATTCCTTAAGTAGGTCGAGTATTTAGACAACTCGTTAAACTTAACTATGAACTCTTCTTAATTCAAGTTCCCTTGTTACAGCTGGTAGAACTCATTGCTCAAATGTGTAGGTCATAACAAAAAAGATCACCTTCAACCGATCTATCCATTTCTCAAATGATGGAGGATTCAACCTTATATACTTCTTCATGGCTACATTGATAGAGCTCTCTTGCTCTCTTTCTCTAGGCCTCACTAGTTCAGGCCTCCTTAATCCACTCTCTTTATAATAATCCTCTTCTTGTCCCCTCTCAAGTCTTTCCTAACCATGACCGCCAACTCTCTCTACAGTCTTGCTTGACTCTTCTGGTCTTTTTTTTTAGAATCTCATCATGCTCATCTATTCTCTCATCTATGCTCATCATGCTTATTAACTCAAACAGTATATTCTCATTGCCCATTGTAGGTCTCGGTTACTCTCTAGCTTGACCCGTGCCTTGCCCCATCTCAACATGCTCACTAGGGACAACGTTCTCCTTTTCTCGTACCAAGACTTCCCGTACTTGTCTTGATACATTCGTTGGAATGTTATCGGTAGTATTTCTTGTTTGCACCACCCTTCTTAACAATGGAAGTTATCTCACAAAAGGAAAATAGTTAAACATAGCTCAAAGGGGAGAAAACATGTGTATAAACATTCACAAAATCTACATAGTTCACAAATCCAGGGGTCCAATTCTCAGAACCAGAGAAACTGATACCAAATTGTAATCTCCCTAAGGTTTATCACACTTAACTCCAAATTTAAGGTAATCCAAGGCTTAACTCACAAGAATTACCAAACTGTAGGGTTTCTAAATGAATTTCTCAAAATCCATTTTAAGGAATCCCAATTTTCAACTGTTCAAATCTCAAACAAGTTTTAAGGACTCCAAAAACAAAGCAGAAGCTTGGACTCCAAAAACAAAGCGAAAGCTTGAAAATCAATTGAGACCCAAAAATGAGTTTTAAAACTCAAAACCGATTTTTACACAGAATTTGACACGCGCGCTGTGGCTTCCGGTTTGTGCGCCGTGGCATGTCTCCTCTGTGCCATGCGTCGTGGCATATTGCACGAAATTTGACAGATTAGTAACCAAGTTTTAATTAACCCTTGCAGTTACATATTAATTGTAAATATATGCAAAAAGGCTCATAACACATATATCACATAGTATTGGGCCACGGTTCACAAAACTAACTAACAACCATGTGACCGGGTTTGCCACAAAACACTATATCATGTTGTTTTCAAAGACATAACTTAGGGTCACAAAAATAACAACCATGCACCCTTAACATGTGCCGAACCATAAAACTAACAACCATATGGTTGGACTTACATGCATGATTATGTGCCAACCTTATATCCTCCTGTTATCTTCGACACAAAACTAGTAGCTATAACGTGGCTACATCCTTCATGGACTAACCCAGCCTTTCACTTGTGAGGAGCTGCCAGGCCGAGGTTAACTCACTCACTTATGTAATTCAGTTTTCTCCAATACTAACAACCATTGGGTGTCGTACCTTTAATCTAACCTCTTCATGAATCGAAAGAGACTAATTAAGTTTAAGTCCCTTGTAAAACAAGTGGGACAATCTTGAATCAACTATGGGACAAGGGCTACCTCTTAATTCTAACAGTTGGTGCCAAGGCTAGTTCCCAATTCCAACAATCATTGCCAATACTATGTGAATTTCCAACCAAACTACTCCTCTCCCTAGGCAAACTCCCGCCAATGATCATGCCATGTACATTTCACACATTTTATACATTTTAACATTTATTACTCAATACATGAATTCACGTACACGTATACTCTACATTTTAATGCATAATTCTAGTGAAATGTGTAACCCTCAAAAATACAAACTGATTTTTCACAAATTATTAAAACCATTATCATGGTAGAAATTTTTCTACCATGATACATCCAAGACAATATACCACAGGTCTTAAAATATCTCAAAAAGCAATTAGAACCATGAGGGACAGACATGATCCTCATAGCATGTTATTCAAATCAGGTCATGAATCAAAAGGGACAGACATAATCCTCTTGGACATATAAATGCATTTAATAAAAAGGATTAGAGTTTACATGCTCTATAAAGAAGATATGTCCTAAGCCGCACAAGATACATTGTATAATCCAAAATAAGAGGCAACATAAAAGATGGTGTCTCATACACCATAATTACACCTCTAGTGCTTTCTCGGTCGGACTCGCTCTTGTAAAAATATTAACCACGGGGAATGAGACTTAAAAGTCTCAGTAACCAAAAATGTAATGATGCATGCGGATGTAACTAATCATGCGATTGCTAAGTGAGCACACAAAAACATTTAATTGAACAATATTTCCAAACAAACCAAACAAGTATTTAATTGCATGACTGCACCTTATATCCTCCTTTCACCATGCTCGGACGCCAAATCACCCGACTAAAGGTGAGTTGGACCAAGCGACACGCCACTCATTGGGTCCAATGAGGGCTTACCACGTGGTAATAATTAACCGAATAGAAATTCCCATTAAACACCATACATTAAAATACTCTGACAAATCATGCATCATTTAAATATCCAAATAAAAATTTATCCAAACAATAATATCTCATCATGATAAACAAAAATAAATTTTTAACCCACTTGGCAATAATTTCAAACAAGTATATACAGTATTTATTTTCAATAATTCATAATTTTTTCAAATAATAAGTTTCAGAAATAAAAGAGTGTGTAGTACCTGAATCAAATAGTGCAACAATATCATGATAAAGGATTTTAATGTTACCTCTAATGGCATCTGGGGAGTTTATCGTGTCCTGAGTAAGGGCAAACACATGGCTAGAGACAATAGGATGCTGGGAAGGGTTCTTTATATTTGAGCCCTGGTTGTCCCCATAAAACTTTGCAATGTGATCGAGTTTCCCACAAATATAACAGACCCAGCACTGTCCGAAAAGACGACGCCCTCATTTAGTGCACTGCTGAGAGCTCGCTGTACTCGGGGCAGGGGTAGATACTATTGGGCTCCTCTGTGACCCGTGATAACTACTATGATAGCTCATCTATCCTTGGCCCTTTTAAAATGGACCCTTCTACCTTCCTTGATTCCATGAGCTGCTCGAACTCTGATGGTTTTTCTTCGTAATGCCTCCGGTGGGTCGGGGGTAGGTTGGGGGTCTACTATATGAATAACCCCTCTTCTCTCTCTTGACCTCCTTCTTACTGTGAGCTACTACTTGTAGTTTTATGCATATTTTGTCATAATCTCGAATATCTAGATGAGCCAATTGCTCCCTCAATTCTGGTCTAGCCTTCTCCAATAAGCGCTTGGCCTTCCATTCAGAATCATCCCTATACTGTAGGTACATGGATTATCTAGATAACTCTTGAAACTTAGCAATGAATGTGTCCTCATCGAGGTTCCCGTGATAACTCAACTTCCTTTTCAGACCTTAACTCTGATGGAAAGTAATGTCTGAACAATTTTTTCTTGAATTCCTCCCATATGAGTGTAGAATCATCCCTGGGTCCTACTGTCTCCTACCAATCTCTTGCTCCCTTTACTAGGAGCACTAATGCTACTTGCACTTTCTGATTACTGGTGCACGTGACTACTCGAAAGATGGACTCGAGTCTCTTCACCCATTCTTCATCAAATATAGGAGGATTAAACTTCCTAACAGTTTCCCACACATCAGTAATGGTCAGTGGGGCTCTCTGTTCCTCCTGCCTAGTTTCCTCCTTTTTAGACTTATGATCTCTCGGAGTGGCAGGATGTGAGGAACTGCCTTCCCTCACATGACTCTCAACATGAGCCCTATCTCCATTTTCAATTACCTTTTGCCTCTTTAGCTCCGTCAACTCTTGTTCATCCTTGAACCTTGTCTGTTAATGTTTTTACAAGCATTCTCAATTTCGCCAAATCATGCTCCTCCTCATTTGGCAGTGGCGGTGGTAGGTGCTCATGTTGGAATCCTGAGTTACCGCGAGTAATAGGCATTTCTTCTCCCGTCCCCTAAAGGATACAAGATATAAATAATAAAATTAGCCTAGCTATATAATGGCCATACAATGTATATTGCCAACCGACTATATGCAATGCATCACACATATTAATACATATTAAATTCAAAAAGTAATAGTTTCAAACAAAAGTTTAAATAAGTATTACTAAAATAGAGGCTCGAAACATGATGCTCTGATTATAAATGTAACACCCTCAAAAATACAAACTGATTTTTCGCAAATTATTAAAACCATTATCATGGTAGAAAAATTTCTACTATGATACATCCAAGACAATATACCACAGGTCTTAAAATATCTCAAAAAGCAATTAGAACCATGAGAGGGACAGACATGATCCTCATAACATGTTATTCAAATCAGGTCATGAATCAAAAGGGACAGGCATAATCCTCTTGGACATATAAATGCATTTAATAAAAAAAATTAGAGTTTACATGCTCCACAAAGAAGATATGTCCTAAGTTGGCACAAGATAAATTGTATAATCCAAAATAAGAGGCAACGTAAAAGATGGTGTCTCATACACCATAATTACACCTCTAGTGCTTTCTCAGCCGGACTCGCTCTTGTAAAAATATTAACCACGGGGAATAAGACTTAAAAGTCCCAATAACAAAAAATTAATATAATGATGCATGCGGATGTAACTAATCATGCGATTGCTAAGTAGGCACACAAAAACATTTAATTGAACAAACCGAACATTTAATTCAAACAAACCGAACAAGTATTTAATTGCATAACTGCACCTTAGGACCTTTCACCATGCTCGGACGCCAAATCACCCGGCCAGGTGAGTTGGACCAAACGACATGCCACTCATTGGGTCCAATGAGGGCTTACCATGTGGTAATAATTAACCAAACAGAAATTTCCATTAACACCATACATTAAAATACTCTAACAAGTCATGCATCATTTAAATATCCAAACAGAAATATATCCGAACAATAATATCTCATCATGATAAACAAAAATAAATTTTTAACCCACTTGGCAATAATTTCAAACAAGTGTGTATATTTATTGTCAATAATTCATAATTTTTTCAAACAATAAAACAACACATAATCATTCACAAACACACCCATCACAACACATTAATAATGGTTATCTTGTATCTTGAATAACAAGTTCCCCCCTTCATAACTCTTTTTTCACCACTATCTCTGTCAATATAATCTACATAATTATTTCACAATACTTATATATCAATTTTACATTGAAAATAATAAATAACTCTAATTTAAAGAGTTAGAAAGTCTTAGATTTAAAATCCATATTGACACTAATTTAAGATTTATGCCTCATTTAACTTTTCAAATTCTTTTCTAAAATTCTCGTACCCTAATAAACTATTTTTAAGCCTCAAATCACTTCTAGTATCACAATTTCATCCATCTATATTCTAAAAATTCTTTCAAAAATAAATTAAAAATTTTAAAATTATCCTGAGGCCTCAAATCACCTTTCTATAACCTCAAAAATACCTATTCATACTTAAATAACTATTTAATAATTAGAGGTTCATCTCTTCATCTCAGATTCAACAACATAGATCTAGATTTTAACTTAAAAATTTTTAAACATGAGTTTCAACCTCAAGAAAATATTCTATAATATTTATTATATCCCTAAGAGCTTTAACCTATATTTTTAATCCATCATATCATTAAATTAACTATCTTATAGAAAAATCCTAATCAGAATATTTACTCTATCCTACAAAATAATCATATATCACTAGAAAGCTAATATTATTTAGAATATAACTATAAAATTAATTTTGTAATTAAATAAATTTTTAAATGCTAATTCCAAACAGGAAAGTTAGAACATACCTGAAAGAAAAAGAAAATAACCCCCCTTGTGAGAAAACACTGAGCAACGTGAGAGGAAGAGAGAAAAATAATATAAAAATGAAATTGTAGGCCATTACTTGCAATTTTCACAAATTGCATCTTGGGCCTTTAGTTGCAATTTTCACAAATTGCAACAAAAATTTCTTCATGCTTCCTCCACAATGCACCTCCTCTTTTTATACATGAGGAGGTGCCTTTCATTCCCACATCTAACTGATGTGGGACTAAACCCCCTCCCTTTTTTTTTACTTTCTTTTCTTTTCTTTTTTTTTTTAACTCACACACACACATTAATTTTTTTTAAATCTTAAAATTATATCTTAACAAAATATTTTTTATATAATTTTAAACTTAAGTTTTTAATTCATAATTAAATGTCTAACCATATTATTATTTTCAAATAACCTCAAATAATATAAATTCCTATTATTATCATCATCATTTTTTTAAAAAAAAAACTTAAATTTCATAAAAAAAAATTTATCTAAAAATTAGGATGTTACAAAATGATTAACAAAGGCTGAGGTTTAGTTATAATTATGTTGTGAATGTGTAAAGTAGTAATTGATATTGTAGTGAAAATGACCAAAGGAAAGTTTTTGAGCCAATATGTGAATAGTTTGTGTTTTGTGAAAATTGGCCGTTGAATAGCTAAATTTGATATATGTGTATATATATGATAAAATATAGTTTAATGAGATTAAGGGATCAATTTGAGCGCGTAGGTGTGCAAAATTCTTTAAAAAAGTGACTTTTTGCACCTAGGTATCTAAATTTTAATCGAACCATAAGATCGTATCTAAATTTATCTTATTAGTTAGCTTATAAGTTAAGCTTTGTGTGGGCACTTGAATCACTCCGATCGAACGTCATATGTGAAAACAACGCATGCTAAAAGTTCATCATTTGTACTATCAAATGACAACTGTTGAAACTAGCATGTGCGCCGCAGCACATGGCGTATCACGTCATAGTGCATGGTACAAAGAAGGTATAAAAAAGGTTTGAGTGTGTGGTTCTGTGCCACATGCCGTGGCGCAGGGCCACTAATCTAACCTTATTTCCTTGTTTTAAATACACATAATGATTGATATGAATGCATATGATTTATTTTCACAGCGTATTGCTCTAATGTCTTATGATGTTTGATACAAAGTATTTGATTACTTTTGGTTTTGTTTGTAGTGGCAATTAAGTTAATCCTTTCTTATATCTGGCGAATATAGGGGAGGGTTACAATAGCCTTGCCTATTTGAGGTGCATGTAACTATTTGAGCGTTACAGGAGAATCCATATCATTCTAAAGCATCAATTGTTGAGAAATATGTTGTTGAAAAGGCCTTTGAGGGTAGAGGCAAAGGAGTTCCTAAATCTTGCTATAAGGGGATTAGACTCGCAAGTAAGGTGTTGCAAACACACTTGGGTTCACAATCTATCATTAGATAATTAAAGAGAACTAAGTTAGGGTGATAATTATACATGTTCGAATGGATGAGAATAATGTATAGGTGCCATTTGCCACCTTCAAGGTTTCAATAGTAGGCTAAGCAAAACAATTTTTCATTCTATGGCCTAAAAATCGTATGTTATTTTTTATGTTAATTAATTATTTATATAGCTCGTTCTTTTTATATTTTACAATGAACCTAGAAATGCTACGAAATTTTCCTATCTAGCACAACATTATGAAAATTTCAAAGTGTATAAAAGGAATATATTTGTGAAATTGACAAGAGAAACCTCAAAGAGTTCCTAACTTTAATGAAGATGGACATAGCATGAGAAAAATTCCTTGCATGATACTTGAGATCCTTAGTTTGAAAAGAGCAAACATGATATGTTCTAATGCACAACATATATAGGATTCATTTTGATGTTTGAAATAAAGAATAGGAGTAACCTACTTGATAATGCAACAATCTGATCAAGAAAGCCATCAAGACAAGGTTCACTTGATCAAAAACCCATATGTTCAAGAACATCTACATTCCTCATCATCTCATGGATGCAACAACCATAAATCTCTTCCAAAAAGCATCTGCTCTCTGAGAACTTTCAATAGGAAAAGCCATGGCAAGAACTATTCCGCTTCCTAAGCTACCTAGGTAATGACAATTGTGATCATCAAATTATGCTCTATCATGTGCACTAGCATCTAACTTTATTTACCACAAGCAAAAGGATGTGCTGCAAATATTTCTAAGTTAGCAAACTAAGTTTGATCAACAAATTCAAAAATGATCTCATGACACAAACACGTGGAGCACAATAATCAATTTTGATCAACAAGTAGAAACAAGATCATTAAATCACGAACAGAATAGTTAAGAAGAAATCTCTATATGGAGATGATAGCAAAAGCTAGTATTTTACATCAAACAGCAAACTGAAGGGAAATTTTTGAAACAAAGAAACAAATGAAATTAGATTTCACAATAAAAAATTAGAGGAGGAAAAACCATCTAAGCAACATTGAGAAGCATATTAAGGGGAAACAAAAAGACTATTCTTTCTCGTGCTAATAAAATTTGAAGAAACTTTATCTTCAATCAAATGTCTCTTTACAAAAATCTAAACCCAACGTATTAACAATGCCAGTACCAAAAAAAAAAAAAAGTCAACAAGAAACAGAAGAATGCAATCGAATCAATTGTGGAGAAGTTAACAATTTTGAATTAGAATAGCTTAAACTCAAAAAAGCTAACACCATGAAATGATGAGGGGAAGCAATTAAAAAATGGCAAAACAAAGGGATAATTGAAACAAATAGCAAAAAATAGTTGAAGATAATTTTTAGAAAAGGAAAATAAAAGGGAAAAAGAAAGAGAAACGAAATTGGCTAAATAAAAACAAAAAATGTCTTAAAAGGGAAGATATTTCCAAAAGAAATGGATAGATCAAAAACTACTCCTACAAATTGTGCTGTGCGACTTTCATTTCCCCATGCTCTTCAATAATGTTACCAAGGAGGCTATTGTTTTAAGCCTACAACCATTTGGTCAGAAACTAGAAAAATGAGAAGGAGAACCTCTTTAGTAATGACGCCAAACATATTAGGATTATTTGAGAGACAATTTAAGCAATATTGTGAAGGCGAAACTACTCTCAAAAGCACAAAAACTACTCTCGACTTACTAGAATATCTGAGTGTGACATGTCATATATGCTGAAGGTTCTGAGACTAACCTCAGATCAAAATGAGTTTAACAAGTGCTAAGATGAAAATCAAAGCTGAATAGAAGTCAGTCATTGATAAACATATTATTGCACAAATGATAGCCATCTATTCTTAATGATAGAAAATCAAATCCATGTCTTTTTTTTTTTTTTAATAACAGAACAACTTTTAAGGGGGAAGAAAAATCAATTCCTCATGTGAAACTTGAGATCCCAAGTTCAACTCATGTTCCTAAGATTTACTTGTCAAAACAAAAGAGAAAAAAAAAAACATTATATACTCATTTGGCAGTTTATAGTATAACAATGCTTGATAATGCAGCAACCTAATCAAAAAAACCATCAAGACAAGGTTTAGTTGAACTCAATTTTTGCTGTATCTGCTCTCTCAGATTGCTTTCAATAGGAAAAGGCAATGACAAGAACTGCAGCAGGACACAAAACTATTCCAGTTCCTAAGCTATCCAGGTATAATCATCAAATTATGCTCTGAGATGGGGAGTACCATCTAACTTTATTTACTCTAAGCAAAAGGATGTGCTGTAAATATTTCTAACTTGGCAAACTAAGTTTGATCAACAAATCTAAAAATGATCATTTAATCACAAACAAACGGGAGTACCAATCTGCAACTTTAATTATTTACCCTAAGCAAAAGGATGTGCTATAAATATTTATAAGTTAGCAAACCAAGTTTGATCAACAAATGAAACAAAGATAATTCAATCACAAACAGAATAGTTATAGAGAATATCTATATGCGGAGGTGACGGCAGAAGTTAGTGTTGCACATCAAACAAGTCAAAAAGAAAACAGATTTCTAAAACAGAGAAACTTGTGGACCATTAGGTTTGTTTCTGCGAAACAAATAAAAGACAAAACCAAAGCCATCTGTGCGGCATGGAGAAGCATATATATAAAAAAAAAGACTAAATTTGAAAGGCTTGTCTTCAATCAGATTTGTCTTTACAAAAATCTAGGCCCAATATCATACAAAATTTTCAGCGGAAAGCCAAAGAAAGTAATTAAGAGAAAGCAATCGAATCAATTGCAGAAAAGTTAAAAATTTTGAATTCGATGCACGATATGAAATGTATGAGGAAACCAACAAAATGAGGAATTTGAAGACCTTAAACTCAATAAAGCCAGCAAAGTGAAATGATGGAGCGAGAGCGCTTAAGTGAAAAAGGATAAGGAATTTGAAGTTCAACACAACCTGCTGATCAGAGAGACTATATTTACATAATCACTTCAAACAATTTCTATTACCAAACAAATGCTGGCACACACAGTATCATTTAACATTAGGCATTTAAAAAAATTGAAATTATTCAATTTCAAAATAAGAGATTTCTACTGTTAATTGTAACTTAATCATAAGTGATCTAAAGTTACAATTATGAAGGACGAAACTCCACTGAACAAAACTGGAACGAAATACATAACTCAAGAAACAGAATGAGAAGAAACATGCAGACAGTCGGATAAGCATTTAGATCAATAGCCAACCATAACGTGAAAAGGAAAGATAATTTTCGAGGACCTTTGAGTAAATCTAGAGTGAGATTTTAACTTCTTGGTCTTAAATTTGAATTGTGCTTTCGCTAATTCATCTATTTCCTCGGAAAACAAAATTATCAATGCAGTAAGATGCGACTACTGACCTGAGCAAGAGATCGGTAACTACTTTGTGTTTGGATTTTCTTTCCTAGCTGCCGAAAATGAGTATTCCCGAAGAATACCTTCCCAGAAATGGGTTTTCCCCGAAAACATTTGTAAATCTCGTGTTACAATTCAGATGAGAAGTTATATAGAGAAAAAAAGTAGCCGTTTGTCTGGCCAGAGCAAAGAAAAGTAGCCGTTTGTCTGCTATTTAACGGAATGCAGGAGCCTTGAAGGACGATAATGATGGATTTGATTTTAATTTATTATTAATATTGATTATTTATTGGTATTAATACTTTGTTTAAAAATAAAATATTTGAATTTCAACGGGAGAAAGAATCGAAAGGTGATGAGTTCAATTTAAGGACGTTCTTTGAATTTAATTCAATATAAGTGTGAGGACTTGGATATATTTGGTGTGATGAGTTTAACAGGGGAAATTACAAGTATAGAATATATCATAAAACTATATAAGTAATGGTTCTAAATTTTGAAAATTACTCCCAAAAAAATTGGTTCTTTTCTTTTTTGAAAAAAAGTGTCACAATTTTTTTTTTTAAAAAAAAAAGAGTGAAAAGCTCCCAACTTTAGCAATCAATATTAACTTTGAAATGCTGAAAATGAAAAAAGGAGAAAACTTATATAATTAACATTATATATTTAATATATTTGTTTTTAATTAAATAAAAGACATGCAAGTTTTTTACAGGTTATTTATTTTATAATAAATTTTTTTATTAATTTTATTCACACATTAAAATACATTTGTTATGTTTTAATTAAATATAAATATAATATAAAATTAAGCACATACTCCCTCCGGTCAAAATGTAAAGCATTTTTAATTTTTTGAGATGTAATCATTGTCTTTTTTTTAGAAGTACTCTTGATAATGACTTTATATTTATTATAGGGTGTTTAATAAAAACAAATATAAAAAGATATGGTTAGTTGAAAAATAAGTAACTATTTTATTGAAGGGTGAGATTCAATTAAAAATATCTTATATTTTTAAATGAACGGAATAAGTTATACCCATATATAAATATGTGGACATTTATAGTGCAGTTGATCCCTGTTTTGAAGTCTCAAATTGCTGGATCTTTTTTCTACATCCAACCTTTGGTATGTCTTTAGCATTTATATTTATTACTTCATACAAAATCTTCATCAAATATCATAGAATGTTAATAAAAAAATAAATGTAAAATATATTGACATATCTTTTATTTTGCTAAAACTGTAGATATCTCTTCTCTATTTTCAAAACTTATACTTTAGTTCCATCCTCAATACAATTAAGAATATTCTGTTAAAGATTTTGAAATATTTAACTTTTTATTTTTAATTTTGTTAAAAATTGTAAAATTATTAATTTTTCCTTATTATGATCTAATTGCCTACCCACTCTCCCAATTTAAAAAATCTTTAAATAATTAATATTTCAATATTTAAATAAATAATTGAAATTTTTGTGTTAAAATTAATGAAATTTTAAAAATACACATAAATTATTTGGAGTAATTTATTATATTAAATTCTTATTTCATAATTTTTTTTGATGAAAATATTTCTTAAAATTTTTGAACCGGATGTTTGAATATTATTTTAGCCAATTTATATTTTTAATTTTTTAAAAAATTACTAAGTAAATATGTTTACATGATAATAATAATTAAAATATAAATGAAAAGGTTAAAAAATATATAGGAATTAATTTTTTAAACAATATATATTTAAAATGAGATAGTTTGATCAAACATATATAACTAAATAGTTAAGTAATAATTGAGTGGATGAAAATAAAATATTAAAAATAGAAGGAATATTTATAGTCTGTAATTATATATATTAAGAAAGACTCATGTAGATTTCAAAAATATTAGAGAGATATTAATAATTAAAGTAAAATAAAAGGGAGGTCGGAGTATTTACAATGACCTTAAATTTTTAATTGAATCAATTTTTTTTCTCAATCAATGTTTTATTTAAATAAATTTTGTTTGGTAAGTTTGACTTTATTTTATTTTAAATTATCGAAAAATTTGTGCTCTTTTTATAATTCTTTTTCATTTTTTATAATTTTCTTTTTGTCCTTTTCTCGTAATTTTCACAATTCTCTTATAACCAGATTCTTCTTCTCTTCATGCGGAAATTAAAAAAAAAAAGCATCTCTTTCTATTTTTTCTTTTCACCGCCATTACTCTCATCTAGTCCTTCATCATCAGTCCATTCCTTTGGCTCTTCTCATCAATTTCATTTGCAAGCCTTCAACCCGTACTCCTTCACTGTTGTTCGTTTGTTCGTTTTCGTACAGCCGAGAGGTTGAATCTCCTTCCCCATTGCTGCTCTGTTTCGTGACTGAAGAGGTGTGTGTAAGCGTGTTCAGCCTTTCTCTTTTCCTTCTCCTTAGCTGCTGGAAATTTCTTGTGTTTGAGTAGGGTAAATTGATTTCTTTCTTTTTTTTTTTTCATGGCTAGAAATTTCTGGTTCTTCTTCTCGTTCGTGTGGCAAAGTGAAGCACTTTGCTTCTCCTTCTATAGCGTCATTCACATGCTGATTCAAAGTGGTGGCACTGCTGTTTCGTTTGAGGTGAGTGGCTGTTCTTTTTCTCCTTTCTCTTTGATTTCTAGAGCAGCATCGAATCATCATTTTTCCTGCCTTTGGTTGGTTGATGCGATACACCCAATTTTTTCCCACTGCTGCCGTACAGAAGTTTTAGAAGGAATTGAGGTGTATTTTTTGGTTAATGCTGGGTGTTATTTTGCTATGATGTTGAGCTGAATAATGATGATAGAACTAATGTTTGGGAGTTGATTAAATAATTGGATGATTATTGTAAGATGAATTTGGATGCCTTGATATGTTTGTGGGAATGCTTGATTGAAGAATTTAGGTGCTATTTTGAATAATATTGGATATTATTTTATTAATGTTGAGTTAATAATTGATAAAAAAATTGAATATTAAAAATTGTGGTTTTGCTTGGAAGCTTGCTTCGTGATTTAGTTAATGATAAATGTTCTCATAATGCTTGTAAATATGTTTGGAAAATTTATTGGTAAGAATGAGATTGTTAAATTTTTATAATAGAACCTAGATGAATTATGAATATTATTCAAAGGAGTATGTATAAGTTTGGGATTTAAAAAAAAAATACTAAAATAGGAGAAAGGAATGCATAGGCTGGTTGCATGGTATGTTATTAAACATAAAGAAGCATGAAAATGTTTAATATGAGATATTATGTCTTGTGGTTGATAATAAATTACAAAAAGATATAAGGATAAATTGAGAGTCGCCAAAAAGCTTAACTAACTCAAATATGTTTAAAGCATGATTGGTTAGAATATTATCTTTAATATTAATTAGATTGAATTTAAATCCCAGTAAAAGCTTAGAAAATTGCTTGATAAATGATTTCAGACTTATGATTTATTTGGTAAAAAATTAAAAGCATCACTAGAATTAAAGAAAAAAATTAAGAGATGCAAGTTTTAGAATTTTAAAAAACTTTTAAATAAGTTAACAGCATCCCAAATAATTTTTTTTTAAAGTGGTTATAAGATTTTTTTATTTAAAGTTTTACGTTATTCCTTTATAAGTTGTATAAATATTCTTGTCAATTCTAATTTTATGATTCAAACAATCCTTTTTACTTACCTGACTTTTACATTAATTGATTTATTATGGAATCTGCTTTAGAATTATTAAGAATTATGCTATTGTTAAGGAATCTTTAGATCTGTTACATATTAACCGAATATTTATTTTAAACATTTCTATTGTTTAACTTTTATTATTTATGTTATAATTATTAATACAATGATTCGTGCATGGAGAAAATTGAAAATAAAATTAAATAATTGAATATTATATTTTGAAAAGAATAGTTTTCAATGAATGTTTTAGCTCTATACATGCTTAATTTAATTAGGGGGATTATGTTGAGAATGCTAGATGCTAATGGTAGTTCCGTTAGCCTTTGGCGTGCCATGATACACCCAGCTAGTAGGGTGTTTAGGAAGTGTTAGCCCTATGCAACGGCCAACGCACGTGAAATAGAAGGATGATTATTTGTGAACTTAATACTCATGCTTGCTTTCGTGGGCTTTTTGCTCGTGCTTATTTTCATGGCTTCAAGTCGCACTTATTAGTTAATTACCCTTATGGACTTGATGACTTCCAATATTTTAATGAATTTAATAGTGTTTTTAATGCAATTGGAAGTCATCTTATGGAATTAATTAGCAAATATGTGATTAAGTTGATAATTGTTTGTGAAATTTGAGGTGGATAAAGTCCAAGACAATTGTTGAAGTTAGTGGATCAATTATGGCATTAAATTTGAGTTTTATTCATATAGGGAGGCCCAACTTATGGACCCAAAGCTAATAATTTTGAAGCCCACAAGAAATTGAATTCTACCCAATGATACTGCAGCACCAATTTTAGATGTCGTGACATCAGACCAGTTTTTAGCAAAATGCACATCTTCACTTAAAATCATGTTTTGAGGATTTCTGGCTTCATTTCTGTTCTAGTTCATCTTGAACCAGCAGCTACACGTCCAGGGAGTATTCTAAGTTGGAGAAAGAGTTAGAGAAGCTTGGGGAACACTTGGGTCTTGCGATTTGTGACAGAAATCATCCTTCCTAAGTTTTCTTCTCCCTTTTCTCTACATTTTAATATATCTTTTGCTAAATATTGATGCTTCATTCTATTTTAATGGCTGTTAGTGGTTAAATTTGTTTGACCTAGAGTAACTATGAACTTGTTAGTGGATTAGAGCTTGTTTTTACCCATTTGTTTATGCTTAATATTAATTTTGATTGCTCAATTTTGTATTAATTTGTCTGTTTAATATTTGGCCATTATTAAATATGAATTTTAGTGTTGGAGTTTTTCCTTGACAAAGGAAAATCTCATTTGAACCCTTAGATTGAGTAATATAAGATTAGATTATGATCTAATTTGTAATTAGAATAGAAATATACCTAATTACCTTATATAATCAAATTAGAGTGAATTGGAATTAAAGTTACTTCTTGGATAATTTTGTTAGAAATAACATAATTAATTCAAGAGAGGGTTATTTGAGGTTCGAAAGGCCCTTATAGCCATTAATATTCTAGATTAACAAAATTAGTATTAAAATTAATT